ACTGCCGCCATGGGCAGCGCTGTTTCCGCCGACTGCGAGCGCCGCGTGGGCATTCCCGCGGGGGGCCAGCAGAAGGGCCACATCGAGCAGCTGGGCCAGGCCAGCACCTGCAGGACCGCCACGCAGCTCACGCGGAAGGCCCAGGCATGGAACCCGGCCCGACGCCGTCTGGCTTTTGCAGGACTCGGGGCCCCCGAGACCCCCGCGCCCTCGACGCCCGGGAGCTCGCCCAGACCCCGGACGGGACTCGAAGGCTTCGAGAAGCACTGGCAACTCCCCGCCCCCTCCAAACTCGTGGACTCCGACGCGGTCCGTCATTGCCTGACCTCGCACCTCCCGCCCATCGCGTTGGCGCACCTTCAGGTCCCCTCGGCCGCCGACTCCCCAGAAGGCCCTCTACGGAAGGCCCGGCACGCGGCCGCCGGCCCCGAGCAGTTGCCGCGTGCCGCGTGGGCGACGTTGCTCGGGCCCTCCCAGATCCTCCATGCCTCGACGAGGCAGATGTCTTGGCATCGCTCGGACGTGTGCATTTTTATCGTCAAGGGCCATCGGGGAGCATTTTTGTTCACTTTTCGAAAAAAGTGCACGCACGAAGCCGAAAAACGCACAGGGAATGGACGTCCAAGCGATGGCGAGATGTGCGAAGCTGGCCTCGCCCCGCGCAGGTTCCACGCTTCTGTGTCTGCCTTCCCGCCCCAGGGGGGAAGCGCCCCTGGGACTTGCCGTTTCTCCGCGCCGCTGGAGCTGCGCGGCCCCTTCCGCTGGAGGAGTGCGCTGCCGAGCTCGTCGCGCGCGTCGGTGAGCGCGGGACTGGTGGACCTGGTCCGCGAGAGCATTGCAGACGCTCAAGAAGGGGTCGTCAAAGGTAAGAACTCCGGGGATCACGCGAGTTCTTGCCATTCTGAGGCACGTGGGCTGGGCCGTGGCCCCCGAGCCCGCGAGGGCCTCCCTGTCTCGACATATCAGGGCTGCGTTTTGAGGGATGGGATGGACCTTCCTGGCTGCTGCCCCCTGGAGCCCACGGGGTTCCCACAGGATGCCCCGGTGTACTTTCGGAGGCCTGGAAATTGGCACCAACACCAAGACAGGGGGTTGCCTCCACAGGGGGAAGATGATCCTAGATTTCGGTGTTGGTGGCAATAGTTCGGCCACCTTGGAAGCCAGAATATTACCACCATCACCGAGATCGGGATCTTCCTCCCTCGGTGGATGCACACCGCCGATCTTGGTGTTGGTGTCAATCTCTAGGACTCCGATACTTGGCGCCCGCGCCCTGTGCAGCTGTCCACGGGCCAAGGCTGGAGCCAGCGGCTTCATCCTGCACTGCACGTTTTGAAATCCGGTCGTTGGCGTGCTCCAGGGGCGCCCCCACCTCGGGCTCCGTTTAGGCCTGAGCTTTTGGTTCCCAGTCGCCACTTAGGTCAGGAGGGAAAGAAACACAGACACAATTAGTCGTCGATCCCCAGGAAAATATGGGAAAATATGGGGATTGATGGGGGAAGACAAAAACTCAGAAAATCTGGGAAAATATGGGGCATATTTGTATTTGTGTGTATTTATGTGTGTGTTCTGGGGCTCCTTTATTAGGGCACATCGTTCGGTGGCCCCTGGATCCCACGAGCTCGGAGTCTGCGCCGATGGCTTGTGCCTCGCTCTGGCTCGCCTCGGCGCCCTGGCGCCCCCCCCCCCCCTCCCCTCTCGCGCGATATTTCCTCCTTGGCAGCCTCGAGCTCTAGGCCCATCCTGGGCCGAGTGCGCTCCAGAGGCCCACTCAGTTGACCGGCGGATCATTGCCTTTGTGGTGCCTGAATGCCCAAGCTGCACAGTGCCCCGGATGCGAGATGCTCGGGCGTCCCCCCCCCGGGCTCGGCGGCGTCGCTCGACCTGCAGTAAGAGGCCACCCGTGACAAATAGTGGCTGCGGATGGTGTAGCTCGCGGCCTTTTTCCCAGGAGCATCAGTGGCCAGCATTTGTGCGACGCGTGCTGCTGTCCTGCATTACCCCGCGCGGCATTCCTTTTCCTTTTTCTCATTTCGCAGGCACGAGCGAGGCGCGATGCATCATATCTTACGTGTCACCCCCAACTCCTGGCGCCTCGTCGACCTTCTCGGCGCTTGCTCGTGGTCTCGGAACGTCCCCCCTGCGCCGCTTGTGCCCCTGTCGCTGGCATCGGCCTGGCGAGCGGCCGCAGTCGCTGATCCTGCGTGGCCCAGCGCTTTCAATCCTCTCGCTACTTGAAATGCCCCTGGCTGGCCTGACCCGCGTCCGCATTCGGGGCGCTGTCTCGCCCGCTATTGGAAGAGCTCGAGTATCGCCGGGTACCGGAGGCGACTGCAGGCAGATCAGCTGCCGCGCAATATCCCACACCCAGAGTGTCGCACAGCCAAGTTAGCAGCGGAAAGGGAGTCATCCACCGCAGCGAGGGCGGGGCGGCGTGCGAGTCCTGCGAGACCCCCCTGCCTCATTCCACGCCTCCCTCTTCCCCGATACGCTCGCCGAGTCACCTGCGTTCCGCCAGGCCAGAGCTCTGCCCCACGTCCCGACTCCTGACGACCTGCAGGAGCGCTTGCAAGCACTTGCTGGCCACCGCTCGAAGACAGCACCTGCGCTGCGCTGGTCCGTCTTTGAGACTCTGGTTCCTCTTTGGGCCGCGCAAGCTGTGCCTGCTCGGTTGTGCAGATTTCCTTGACCGTCTTGGCCATTACCTCACCTGTCCGCGTCCTTTCCACTTCCTGGACAATCCCCGCCTGTTCCTTTCGCCTGAACCCTCGCCCGACTTGGCGTAGGCGCACCAGAGCACGTGCCAACCCAGAGCATTCACTTGAGCAGGCAGTGAAACGCACTGCCACCCCGTTCCGCTTCTATAGTACGCTGCGCACCATCACGCGCGCCGCGCCTGGCGCCGCGCTTCTTTACAAACTGGTTCAGAGTGCCTAGCTACTGCAATTCATGCCCTGCACCCGACTGGGACGTGGCAGGGACAAATTGGAAGGCGTGGCCGCTCCTCCTCCTCCTCCTCCTCCTCCTCCTCCACTTCCTTTTCGTTGTCCTCCTCCTCCTGCTCCTTTTTCCTGCTGCTCCGTGGCCACTATAGCGCGAGACGGCCGCGTGTTCGAAACGCATTTTGACTTGTGGCTCAAGCGAGCCTTGGCTTGTTCTGAAGCGTATTTTGATATCTACCTTGTTTGATTTTCTGACAAGTCTGGTTCGCGTGATGTTGCTCTTCGACGTGGTATCGATTTGGCTTGTGGTAAAGTATCGCGCATCGCCGCCAGGGTGTTGGGGCTCGTCGCGGCTTTCCCTGGCGAGCGGCATGCGGATTTACACCGTGCCGTGCGCGGGTCTTTCGTCCCCTATCCCCCGCCGCCTTCCACAGATCGGCATCGTTTATTAATTGTTTGACGGTTTTCAGACCCGTGGGATGCTGACTTTTTCGAGCTGCTGGGGACTGAGCTATGCGCCAGCTTCCCGGGCTCCCGCGGTAGAGCGCGCGCCCCGCCATGGCAGCGTCGTGCGCGCCGGGCGCATCATGGGGTTTCGATTATCTTGTCGTTTCGCCCTGTTGCTTGCGTCGCGATGCACTTGTGTTTGTCTCGCGCCAGCTGGCTTCTTCAGGCTGTGCACGTCAGCGGTTCGCTTCGCCAGTGTCGGAAGCGGTGCTCTCTGTTCATGTGGTGCTGGCGGCGGCTCAGGCAATGAACCGGAATTGTACCGCAAGCTAGTGGACGCGCAAAACTCGTCTACTGCGAAGCTCCAGGGCGCTGTGGGGTTGCAGGCGGGCGATGCTCCTGCTTCGTCGTGGCCTTCTACTACTTCCGCTGCCCCACGTGCTTCACCTGGTGTTGGTTCTCCTCGTTCTGGCAGTGCGGCCGAGGCGGAGAGCCCCGATGTGCAGCCGCATTGGCGCGTTCGAGGCCCAGGTTCAAGCAATTCGCTATTGTGTCATTGATGCTGCCAAGACGGTTTGTAGCGATGCGGTGTTAAAGGTCGTTCGCCAATTTGTTCTACGGTGTGGTTCAGACTCGTCAGAGAAGAGTGTGGGTTCGTGCCTTGAGATCTGTTATCGCAAGGTGCACGGACTGGCCGATCAACTGTCTCGTTCTACGTCGTTGGTGGAGGTTCGTGTCCAGGCGTTGGAAGAGAACCTGCGAAAAGTGGTGGCCCACAGCCGTGCGTCAACTGCACGTGGTTGCTTTCCGTTCTCCTCGAGCCCAGGGCCGCGTACTGGCAATACTGCAGAGCCTTTTGTGCAAATGCGGTCGGAGGCGGCACAGGCTGGATTATGTCGTCGGCGTCCAGAGGGCAGCATCATCGAGGAGGAGACGAAATGCAGGATTTTCCCGCCGAGTGGTCCGGACTACGTTCGGAGTCGGCGGGCTGGTTCTCGTAATCCGCTTTCTCGGTTTGCGGGTTCTGGCGGAAACGACAGTTCGAGGTTTGACCGCATCGACCCTGATTCGGAGGAGGAGGAGGAGGAAGAGATAATGGCCATAATGTTCATGTCAGAGTTCAGCGACGAAGAGGATTGCGGCGTATACTCTCCCAGCCTCTGCGTTTCCATCGCGGTCTTCTGGGCCGCAGAGCGGGCATTTTCTCACCTCCTCGGAGCTTTCTCTCACATCGTGCACATTGTGTTCGTCGAGTGTCTCATACGTGGCTTGCGCCTTCTTTCGATCGCCATTTGGTGGCGGGCCGACTATCTCTTGTGCGTTGCATTTGGTGGCGGGCCATTTGGTGGCAGGCCGTCTCTTTGGGTACGTTCCGCCTCCTCTCTCCTGCTGCTCCTACCTTTTCTCCTCCTCCCTCCTTCTCCTCCTGCCTCCTCCCCCTCTTCTTCTTCCTTTTGTTTTTCCTCCTCCTCCTCCTCCTCCTCCTCCTCCTCCTCCCTCCTCCTCCTCCTCCTCCTCCTCCTCCTCCTCCTCCTCCTCCTCCTCCTCCTCCTCCCCCCCACCCCTGCCTCCCTCCTCCTGCTCCTCCCGCCCGCAGTCTCCCCGCCCGAGGAGCGTCGCGTCGATGGCGAGCACCCGCAGGTCCCACATCTCTGGGACGCCGAGGCGCGGCGGCCCGGGGCCGGCCCGGACCCCGCCTCGGGGGGGGGGCTCCCCCGAGCTGTGCAGCAGGCTCGCGCCGCGTCGCTGCAGCTGCGGCCCCTGCGCGGGCGCTCCGGCCTGCGGCCTGGGAGCTGTCGGCTATAGCGCGTCGCTCCGCCGGTCTTGGCCCGCCACGCTGCGGCGCGGCGCGCCACGCACGCCTAGTGCGCCCCCACCGTCGGCGGCCCGAGTTTTTTCCCGAGCCGTCCGCCCCCCGGGAGCGGAGCGGCGCGTTGTCCGCCCGCAGGGCACAGCGTGTCGCCCTGGGCCGCCGCCGCGACACGCTGAGCGACAGCTCCCGGCTGCAGGCTGGAGTGGTGGGTGTGGCGCAGGTTGGTCGGCGGCGAGAGATGCAATCGTGCATCCGTTGTGTTCTGCTGCGTCCGATAGCGCGCAAGTGCTGCGCAGACGGGAACCCCTGCCCGGGCGACAGCTATTTCGTGCGAAGCACGGCTCGCATTTGCATCCACGTGCAATTGTTGCATCCAGCGCGCACAAGCAGGCATCGACTACTGCAGGTGCTATTGTACCTCTCTCTCCCCGCGGATCCATCGCTATCCCGGCGTAAATCGAGGTTGGGCGCCTCCAGTGGCACTGAGTCAATCGGCCGACGTTTCTGCACGAACGAAATGGGTACGGAAAGAATGGGTATAATGCCCAACAGCAGCTCCTGTTCATTTTGAACCGGACTCGCTGTCCGCGCCGCTGCGGCCTGTGTCCATTTGAGACAGAAGGCCGCCTGCCCGACAGCGGCCGCTGCTGGTTTGGGGCAACATTTGCTGTTGGGCATTGTACCCATTTTTTCCGTACCCATTTCGGGCGTTACAGGTACGCCCGCCCGCCTGCCCTCCAGGTTCCACCGAGTGGGGTCTCTGGCGGGTCGGGCATAGAAGCGTAGATTTTTAGAGAACCCCTGCGCATGGAGCCGGAGCCGGCGACGATGGTTACGCCTTGCCCCTCGCATCGTCGACGCCAGCGTGCTGCTGCACCTGCTCACGCATGCGACCTGCAACCCATGTGCCGTCTAGGCACGGTTCACCTGACCATTTCGGGCGTCCAAAACTCGACTAGACGTAAGAGTGACCTTTCGCCGGAGTGACTGGCGCGCCCAGGTTTGGTCCCCACGCGGCCCTCAAAAAGCCGCGCACCAAAGGTCACTCTTACCCAGGGTCACTCTTGCGTGTAGCCGAAAAACGTCGGAGGAGACGCGCCGCCGCAGAGCCACGATCCTTCACCCTTGGAGCGGTCGACGGTGGGGGGGCCGGTCGGCTCTGCCCGGGCAGGGCCGCGCCCTTCTCCTCTGCCGCGTCGGCGGGGGCGTCCTCGTCTCGGAGGCGTCTTCGCTGGCGTTTTCCTCGCGGGGGCCTCGTCGCCACGGCCGGGCACAGCTCGAGCACTATTAGTCCAGGGGGCGCCCCCAGAAGGAGTCGGGGGCGGCTTTCGGGGGGTACTCTTAGGTCGGGCCCGTCCCCCCTACAGGGGGGATTTCCGACGGAAAATAAAACATACCCCCAAAAATGCCCCCAAATGGTCAGAAAATATGCAGAAAATAGTCCCCAGGCCATTTTTGGAGTTGTTGGGGGTATTTTTTTCGTCGAAAATCCCCCTGTAGGGGGACAGGCCCGACTTAGCACTAGTCCAGGATGCGCCCCCAGAAAGGGTTGGGGGGGTGGCTTTCAGGGGGTACTCAGGTCGTGCCGAACCTCGCGGGGGCCCCTTTGAGGCACAGGCCCTCCGTGGGGGCGAGGAAGGGATGCAAGCGCTTCGTCACAGTGGCGCCCCAACCGCAGCAACTCGTTTGACTGGTATTGCCTTCGTTTGGGTTCTGACATGCGGCGCCTGGTCAAGGGAGAACCTAGTAGTCTGAGCTGCCTGTGAACATTCGTGCTGTGGTCATCTTCTAGTCCGGCAAGCACATGGAGACGCCCAGGAGCCGTTTGAAAGCCTCCCCATGACGCGCGCGGGCCTGCCATCAGAAGCTGAGCCGCATGAGACTCGGGTACGTTCAGCCCTACCATTAAATTCGGAATGTCCCTTCACAGGAGGAATACTACAATAGTCAGAAACAATTTGTATGGCGACGACTTGTCGAGTTTGTTTGTGTTTTTAATGTTTCGATTCTTCTTAGTTCTTCTTTGAGAATCCGTCAGTCGGAGGGAGGACATGCCCGACCTGACCCTGCCATTAGGGATGTGGGGTATGTCGTTCCCTCTTTTCTTGTCTGCTTTTTTCGCTGTGGCGTCCTGGCAGCCTGTGGCTGACGCTGCCATCCTTTGCCACGGGCTCGAAGTGAGTTGTTGTGCTCGTGCTCTCCAGGGCCAGGCCAGGGAGTTTCCAAAACCGATCGCGAGGGTGTTTCGCGAAAACGACACGAGACGTATACCCTCCCCGCCCCGGTTCCCCTTCCCCCGCCCAGTCCGGGGACGGGGGCCAGGCGTGGTTGGGGGGTGACCTCCTGCCCCCGCCTAGGGTGAGGCAGGGAGGACAGAGTCGCCGTGTGCGGAGGTCCACCGCCTGGTGAGTCGGTCGAGGCCTGCAGGTGAACGCGCAGGTCCGAGGCCGGTGTCCTTTCTCCGGGGATGGGTCCGGCGACGCCTGTGCGGCGGCGGCCCGTGCGCTGAGGTCTTTGCCCGGGAACTTCGATGCCACCTCGCGATCTGTCAACACACTGTTTTGGGGGCCCCTGCTGTGTACTGTCGGCGATCGGGAGCAGGGCATGGACGGAGGAGAAAGACGCCACGTTGCTGGGGAGGCCAGGATCTTGTCCACGCCGCCGCTCTGGCCCCTCGTGGAGTCGGGGAGCGAGCAGGGGCGTGGATGCAGTCTCGATCGCCTACACCTTGGCGCCACGTGCCGTGTAAAGTGTGCGCTGGGTCTGCTGCCGCAGAACTCGTGTGAGGAGTGGTTCGTATGACGTGTGCTGTGCAATCGGTGCCATGTGCCGCGCCCGTGCGCAATTCCTTCGTGTGGCAGCGTCGGGCTCGTGCGATAGTGGATGTGCGTGCTGCGCGCCGTGTGCCGTGCCGCGTACCGTGTGCACGGACTGCGGCGACGTCGGATCCAGATTGGGAGCGGATCGCAAGGGATTTGATTGTGCGTTGTGTGCTGAGCGTGGGCTCGCTTGTCGTGTGCTGCGTGCCGTGTGCTCCGTGGGCATTGCCGGATGTGGCGTTGCACGTCGATTCGCATGGCTCTGTATGCTGTGCAATGTGCGCCGTGTCCCGGCTCCTCTCCCTGCAACGTATTTTCACTGCCTACCTTTCGCCTCGCCCCTTCGCCTCTCCCCATTCCTCCCTGACTGGCACTCTCTTCCTCTCTATCCCACCGTCTGCCTGCCCCTTTCCCTCTCTCCCTCTGCCCTTCACCCTTCTCGCCCCACCCCTCCCCTCTGCTTTCGAACTCCTCTTGCCCTCCTCCTCTCTCCATGCCCTCTTCCTCTCTGTCATTCTCTCCACGGGCCTCCCTTCGGACCTTCGTTCTTTCTGACCGTCGGAGCCAAGCCGGCCTCGCTCAGGGAGCTGCGCTCCTTCCTTCCTATGGTTTGGGGGCCACGCCAGCAAGCGGGAGCCCAGCGGGCGCGCTATCAGGTAAGGCCACGTCGAGCAGCGCGCAGATCTGTGAACGGGACGGCGCTGGCGTCAGTCCCCGCATTTGCAGGATGTACCTAAGAGCTGCTCCTGGCGGAAGGAGGATCATGGACCCTGGGGTTTTCATCAGCACCTCAATGCTCAACTTGTGTGCTTCTGCTGACGGCGCCTTGGCCCAGGAAGGGCCCGGGGAGCCCGAAGAGGTCGAACAGCTCCCAAGACCTCCCCCCAGGGCTTCCAAGACCTCCCTTACCCCTGTTCCTCCGGCATCTTCTCCTCATCCCCTTCCTCCTCCTCCTCCTCCTCCTCCTCCTCCTCCTCCGCCTCCTCGTCCTCCTCCTCCTCCTCCGCCTGCTTCTCCTCCCTCTCCTCCGCCTCCTCCTCCTCCCCTTCCTCCTCTTCCTTCTCCTGCTCCTCCTCCTCCTCCTCCTCCTCCTCCTCCTCCCTCCTCCTCCTCCTCTCTTCCTCCTCCTCCTCCTCCTCCTCCCTCCTCCTCCTCCCCATCCTCCTCCTCCTCCTCTCCTCCTCCTCTCCTCTTCCTCCTCTCCCTCCTCCTTCTCCTCCTCCTCCTCCTTCGCCCTCCTCCCTTTTCTCTCCCCTTTCTCCTCCTCCTCCTCCTCCTCCCCTTCTCCTCCGCCACCGCCTTCTCCTCCTCCCCCCTCCTCCTTCGGCCTCCTCCTCTTCCCCTTTTCTCTCTCCTTTCTCTCCCTCCTCCTCCCTCCTCCGCCTCTCCTCTCCTCCCCCTCCTCCTCCTCCTCCTTCTCCTCCCCTCCTCCTCCTCCTCCTCCTCCTCCACTTTCTCCTCCGCCACCGCCTTCTCCTCCTCCTCCTCCTTGCCTCCTCCTCTTACCCTTTTCTTTCCTCCTTCTCCTCTCCTCCTCCCCTTCCTCTCCTTCCGCTTCTCCTCCTCCTCCCCTTCGCCTCCTCCTCCTTCTTTTCTCTCCTCTCTCTCTCCTTCCTCCCTCCTCCTCCTCCTCCTTCCTCCTCCTCCTCCTCCTCCTCCTCCTCCATCCTCCTCCTCCTCCTCCTCTCGTCCTCCTCTCCTCCTTCTTCCCCTTTCTCCTCTTCCTTCCCTCCTCTCTGCTTCTCCTCATCCTCCTCTCCTCCTCCTCCTCCTCCTCCTCCTCCCTCCTCTTCCTCCCTGCTCCTCATCTCCTCCTCCTCCTCCTCCCCCCTCTCCTCCCCTCCTCCTCCTCCTCCTCCTCTACAATTACTCAATATGAATACTACTCTCCCTCTTCCCCTGATGACAGCTTGGGAGTATCCGACCCCCCCCGCGTATTGTTTTTTACACACAGGATTCCCCGGAGTTGGGTTTTCGCCTGCATTTTTTTCCAAAATGCTGCTCTCGCTGAGGCGCCGGCTTCATTTTCGGGC